TATCCGTGAATTTCTGCAACATCAGAGGACTTCACTCTAACCTAAACGCCGTCCACTACCATCTCGAGACGGCGAAGCCGGCCTTGCTCTTTCTGACCGAGACGCAGGTTTCCTCTGCGGCTGATATTTCGTATCTCTCCTACCCGGGGTACAAATTGGAGCACTCCTTTGTGCCTCGGGCTGGAGTTTGCGTGTATGTCAGAGAGGACATCTGTTCTCGACGCCTCGGCAGTCTTGAAGGTTCGGACCTGTCCATCCTTTGGCTACGCGTAGACAGCGACGACCATCCGCGCGTCTACGGGTGCCTCTATAGGTCCCATAGCGGTAATGCCGAAACAGACCGACTCATCGACCACGTCCAAATGGCTACAGATTCCTTGCTACAACAGGTCCCATCCGCAGAGATCGTGATCCTTGGCGATTTTAACGCCCACCATGCCGAATGGCTCGGTTCACGTTTAACCGATCATGCGGGGAGATCTGTTTATGACTTTGCCTTGGCATATGGTCTGACACAACTGGTTACTTCGCCTACGCGGATTCCAGATGTGGAGGATCATACACCTTCCCTGTTGGACCTTCTGCTGACCTCTCATCCGGACGGATATCAGGTTTCCGTCGATGCACCTCTCGGCTCTTCGGACCATTGTCTGATCCGGAGTATGGTGCCACTCACGCTCCCTTCGCGGTTGCGTTCTGCAGGTTGCCGCCGTGTTTGGCATTACAGGTCGGCGGATTGGGACGGAATGCGGTCTTTCTTTGCATCCTACCCATGGGGGCGGGTTTGCTTCTCGCCGGATGATCCCAGCGCTGTTGCTGACTCTGTCACTGATGTGGTGCTACAGGGAATGGAACTATTTATTCCATCATCTGTGGTACCCATCGGAGGCAGATCTCAGCCTTGGTTTGGTCGCTCCTGTAAGACTGCATTGCGCAGTAAGCAGGAGTGTTATCAAGCCTGGGCTGCGGCTTCGGTGACTCGGGATGTAAACACCAGCACACTTAAAAAGAAGTATAACTTCGCCTCCAGGTCCTTCAAAAGAGTTATTGCCAAGGCAAAGTCATAGCACATAGGCAGAATTGGCGAGAAACTTGTTCGCCTTCCTTCGGGAACCCGTGCATTCTGGTCTCTCGCCAAGGCTGTCCAAGGGAATTTCTGTAAGCCATTACTACCATCTCTGCACAGGGAGGACGACTCACTGGCCCAAGACGCAAAAGACAAAGCCGACCTTTTAGGCTCCCTTTTTGCGTCCAACTTGACTCTTGATGACGGGGGGAAAATACCGCCGACCATCCCGCGGTGTGAGTGCTCCATGCCGGATGTGCTATTCTCACAGCGCTCAGTTCGCAAAGCACTTCTCTCCCTGGACATCCAGAAGTCGAGTGGGCCTGACGGAATCCCCCCAATTGTGCTGAGGACGTGTGCTCCGGAGTTGGCACCGGTCCTAACGCGTCTTTTCCGGTACTCCTACTCCCAAGGCGTAGTCCCGAATTCATGGAAGACAGCTTTTGTCCACCCGATCCCTAAAAAAGGCGACCGCTCAGACCCATCCAACTATAGGCCTATCGCGATCACCTCCTTGTTCTCCAAAATAATGGAATCCATTATTAACTGCCAGCTCATCCGGTACCTTAAGGATCACCAGCTGATTAGTGACCGCCAATACGGTTTTCGTCGGTGTCGATCAGCTGGTGATCTTCTGGTCTACCTGACCCATAGATGGGCGGAGGCAGTAGAGTCCAAGGGGGAGGCGTTGGCCGTTAGTCTGGAAATTGCGAAGGCCTTCGATCGGGTTTGGCACAAAGCGCTTCTTTCGAAGCTGCCTTCCTATGGGCTTCCCGAGAAATTGTGCAATTGGATCACCAGCTTTCTTGCAGATCGGAGCATCAAGGTCGTTGTAGACGGTGCATGTTCTGACTACAAACCTATTAACGCTAGTGTTCCACAAGGCTGTGTGCTATCACCAACGCTGTTTCTTCTGCATATCAATGATATGTTGCTAACTGGTAACATTCATTGCTATGCGGATGACAGCACTGGTGATGCTCTATACACCGGCCGGGCCAATATTTCTCGGTAAAACGTCGCCAAGTACCGGAACAAACTTGTGTCTGAAGTCGAGTCTTTGCTGGACAAAGTCTCGGATTGGGGGCGACTAAATCTAGTCCAGTTTAATCCTCAGAAGACACAAGTTTGCGCGTTTACCGCTAAAAAGAACCCCTTTGTCGTATCTCCTCAGTTTCAAGGCACTCCCCTTCTTGCCTCAGCCAGTATCGGTATCCTCGGAGTCGACATATCGAGTGACGTGCAGTTTCGTGGTCACTTGGAAGAGCCAAATTGGCCTCTAAAAAGCTTGGCGTGCTCAGCAGAGCGGGACAGTATTTCATGCGGGCACACCGCCTGCAACTTTACAAGGCGCAAGTTCGGCCTCACATGGAATACTGTTCCCATCTCTGGGCAGGGGCTCCCCAGTGCCAGCTCCTTCCACTTGACCGCATCCAGCGCAGAGCGGCTCGAATCATCGACGACCGAGTCCTTTCCGATCGGCTCGATTCATTGGCACTGCGAAGAGATGTTGCATCTCTTTGCATTTTCTTTCGCATCTACCATGGGGAGTGCTCTGAGGAATTGTTCGGATTAATCCCAGCCGCCAAATTTCATGAACGCACATCGCGGCAGAACACCCGATACCATCCACATTATCTGGATGATTGGCGGTCCACCACTGTGCGATTTAGAAGATGTTTTCTTCCTCGCACGACTTCCTTGTGGAATCGATTACCATCAGCGATTTTTCCGGACCGATACGACTTAGGGACCTTCAAGAAAAGAGCCTACTCCTTTTTAAAAGGCCGGCAACGCATCTGCAATTCCCCTGGTATTGCGGTTGTTCATGGGCGGCGGTAGTCACTTACCATCAGGTGAGCCGCATGCTCGTTTGCCCCCTCTCCTATAAAAAAAAAGCAATGCTTTTCGCAGACTTTCTTCAGACAAATTTCCACGATAACTCTTTCTCATATAGTTATACACCATCTGAAGTTAAAAAAAGAAAGTCATTTAGTTGCAACAAACAAATTAATACTATCCGTTTTGCCCGACTCCATCTTGCCCGCCCATACTTTGAAACTCAAAATACTCATTATTGTTTACGTGAATATAGTAAAATAATGTGTAACTACGGAACAGAACATCAAATAATATGCAAAAACTGGAAAAACTATCAACGCAAGTTATTTAGTAACAGTTAAATAATAAATTGAGTTATAATTACCTTGAAAAATGAATCTTTTTTTACCAAAAACGCAATTCTGTCCGCACAGCACCCGTTGCGCTCGTCCCGCAGCGGACAGGACACTACTTGCACGCGGTTGGGTAACGTTCGTCACGTGATCCTTGGTTTATCACTTTCTAACAATTTGACAATAAACTAGATTAATTATTCCTTTTGCCCACCCTCTCCGTCTTGCCCGTCCGTCCCCTACAATATTTTCAATATTTCAAAGATATAAATTGCTTTCAAAAAATAAAACAAAACCTACAGAACTATTATAAGTAGGTATGTGGTAGAGCCATCATTTTGCTGCTATATTATGGCTGCAGCAAGAATCGGTCGACTCAACCGGGGTAAGACCACGCTCTCACAGAATACCAGCGTAAAATAGCAGCTTAACGCTTCTGTGTTTCGTATGATAAGTGTATATATTCTTAAACCACAGCATCGACTTATTATCAGGTGGACAGTGTGCTCGCTTGTCCCCCTTATTCTTTAAAAAAAAATCGTTGTATCCCGATGAGCAATACCATTGTGTGACTTTGATAGGAATCGTAGTTGGATTCGTTTTGTCGTTGGTTTTTTTCAGTATCGCTTATAAGTCGATGTAGTATCTATATTAATCTCATATTTTAGGTTACAAAATATGTATTTTTTATAGAACAAAAGTGAAAAACGAGCACACAGCCCACCTGATGGTAAGTGGTTGTTGTGGTCCATAGACATCTATATCTATCCTCGACTAAGAATCAAAATGCAAATGCGTTGCCACCCATGAGGACTAAGACGGAATGCCTCGTTTCTAGTTTCGCTAGTTATACATAAAAATACTGGCGTATAATAGCAGATCAATGTTGCTGTGTTTCGTATATTCAGTGTAGAGAACCGGAGATCCCTTTTTATTGGAAACGAGACATTCCATCTTAGTCCTCTAGCATGACAACTTATCTGCATTTTGATTCTTAATCGTAGATAGATTAAGATAGATAGAGGATAGATATGTCTATGGGCCACAGCATCTACCCACCATCAGATGGATTCTGTGCTCGTTTGTCACGCTAAAAATCTGTCAAAAATATTGTCGCGTTTGTAGTAACTAAACGCTTTCAAACGTGCAGGCCATTGGCATGCAAATATCCGTACACTTAATTCTGACGCAATAATGCTGCGATTCCTCGACAAGCGTTCCATTTTTGGAAAACCTGCATGCTCTTAATTCGAATTAGGTTTATAAAGAATAATCCTGTATAAAATAAATATAATATTCTGTCATTTCACTACCTTCTTCCATCACAGCTCATCACAAGCCCTCTGCTGAATATAGGTCTCCCCTTTAAATTGCCTCATAGGGGGATGATTTCCATACTTGTAACGTGTGGCAGGCGCAGTTTCTTATCATTATTATTGAGTTGTTATTGTGATGATACTGCTGTCCATCTCCTGTTTAAATTTCTCTCTTTACATTCACTGAATGATATGGGGTAGTGAGTTCTGTTACGTCGCCAATACATGGCAAAATATTTAAATAAAACTAGTTTTTACGGATTTTATCGCATATATTAATTTATTTTATATTCCCAATGTTCGCGCACTTTGCAGTACCCATGGTCACGGGGGGGAAACATGGTAAAATAATTTAGATAAATCAAAACCTTTTAAGCCTACAATTTAATTAACACAAGCACCCGTCATAAGTTACAAACATTTTAAAAGTATCTTAATTTACAGAATCCTTGTTCGAGCCATTAGCTACACCGTTCATGGCTTGATCCCTGCATCGTGTGTGTTTGCTGATCGTTACAACCGTGAGGAAGTTGTCCGTTCACTGGGGAAAGAAGTCAATATCAACCCGCCACTTATGCTGGGGCAACTGCCAGATACACCTGAGGAATTACTTAAACTTGATCAGGTAAGAGAACTAAAAACTTGTTTTAAAAAGATCTTTGTAAAATATTGAGTTATATGTACTACGTACTAGAGAAGCTATACCAAACAAAAATTGTCGTTTAAAAAACAAAAATTCGCATGCGCGAAGACTTTAATTTAATATAAAATAAATATAAGAATTTAATATAAAATCCTCTTATTTTAATCTAAACAAATATATTTCTAAATAAAATGTAATAATATGGAATTCACAAACCTTCAATTTACGCAATATTTAGTTTAGTGTACGGATTGCAGTAAGGTTCTGTTGAACATAGTCAATGTTCGGAATGCGGAATCTAGTGTTCGTACATATAAATCCATGTTGTAAAAAATCATATCAAAACTATATCTAAGATACGTAAACGATTACGTAAAACGAAATACATTTAAATTTATAAATATTTCAATTACTCCATTAAGTCTTCACAATCTCTCTACATTACCAAGAAAATAACAAAGTTCTAAAACTTTCACTCCCACTCACCGTAAATTTAGGTCAATTTGATTAAAAAGCTTGAATATTTAATTTTAATTACTGCGTAATTGTCTATATGCAAGCCTACTCGTAAGATGGAAAAGCAACTTCGACGAGGAAACTCCCTGTTTTACGTCATTTAACAGTTGGTAGGAAAATACTCGGGATAACAAGGAAATTAGCAGTAAAACTTTCCCTCTTCGCTGCGATTCTTTTTTCAGTTCCCAGTTCCAAATAAATGATGCCGCCGCCGCTTACAGCCGTGAAACATTAATGAGTCCCGTTAGTCGCAAGGTAGGTGGGGGCGATCCCACTCCAATCCTTCCTCACCCCGGTCGCCCCTGTCGTCCTTCACCTCTCATAGCTTGCAACTAATCACGGTAATGAGCTAATGACAAGTTAGATGCGAAACTACTCTCAAGACGACCGAGAACTTAGTACTTACCAAGAAATAGCATCTCTCTATGTGAATACTGAAGTTACTGTTTCGCCTGCTTTATTTATGACATGAAACTGAAAACATTGCAAATTTATACTTAATGTTATCCTATATACTGTAATATGTATTTGGGATACCCTCAACAAAGTTTGTTACAATATTTTTCAGGACAAATCAAATGCCTAATTTAACCAAACTTAAAGATAATTTAAATTTGTTTTACATAAATGGTTCTATTTGAAAATTTTTAATTTCGCGTTGTGATAAATGTTAACACCAAATGAATTTTTCATTTTGCTCATGAACAGCGCGCGTTTCAATGAACGTAATATGCTTAAACGAAAATGTTTCTCTCAACTTCGCTTCAGCCCACAAACTCGGCAAAGTACTGTTATAACCAAAACGTACCAGAAACCTCAATTATAAGATTTATTTTTCCAGGGCAATATTGGTTAGAGCCAAGTTTGTTCGATCCAGTGAACTGCCAATCTTCATTAGGTAACATCAGACGTACGGATTATAAGTCAGAACTTTGTTAAGCGTACCGTCCGTCCTTTGCATTGTTTATTCACTGTAACGTTGAATTTATGAATCTTATAGTGTAGCAACTCACGTGTGTAAATTTATTATATTTGAATTGCATTTAAAAACGTTTTTATCAATCGAATCTGGGATGCTTGTGTACTTACTACGAATTTTAAGCTCCGAACCTGCAATATGTAACGGACATATACATATTATGTCCGTTACAGTCCATACCTTTAAAAGTCCACTGCTGAACAAAGGTCTCCCCCTCATGGGGGAATGTAGCAATAGTTGCCACGTTTGGCAGGCGCGCTGGCAACCACAATTTTTTTTTATTATATTGAGTTGTCATCAGGAAGAATCAGAATGATTTTTTATAAATTACATTGTTAGTTAATTGTATCCGGTGTCTGTATTTCTGGAAGCCCTAAAATAACAAAATCAATAATGCGAATGTAGAGCTATCCAGCTTAAAGTAACATCATTAAAATTTTATACAAAATATCTCGCGTTAAATCTAAATTTAACTGCCGGGAAAGTTACTAATATAATTATCATAAAATATTATTAAATTTTCGATATACTTCAGTCCATCCAAATGGGTAAAATATTTAAATTTAAAATAAATATAATAATCTAGTAATTAAAAATGATATAAACGATAAAATAATTTCCACATAAAAATTTCTGCAGTCTGAACTTACAATCCATCTAAAAGAAGGAAAGGTAACCCTTCTTCAGACAAAGATGGCTACAGATGCGTTGTCACAGCTGAAGACTAAGATGCAATGCCTTATGGCGTGTGCTTATAGTGGCTCTCAATATCCTTCAGATCGTAATAAACCGGACTCTGTTCTATTTTCCAATCATTCCTTAAAAAAAGTATGGATTTAAAGATTTTTTGATCATCATTTTATACTTTAACTGCGATCCCTGATTATGGCATTGAATAAAATTCTAAGTTATTACACACATTGCCTACTTAACGTATGTAATGGATAACAATAGAAAAAATATTTTGTATATTGCTTTTACGAACCCGGTATTGTATAGAATTAATAGAAATCATTCTGTAGAATTAATAGAAGAGTATAATTGTATAGAATGACTGAGTATTCTATATAATGAATGAATTAATAAATATTTGGAGTCACTTTTCGGGATAAAAACTATACTCTCTCTCAAATTGGAGCAAGCAATACACATTTTCAAAGTTTCATTGGAATCAGTTCAGTAGTATAGGAGTTAATCACGGCCAAACAATGTGACACGTACTTTTTATATTTAAAGACTAGCTGTCCCTCGCGACTTCACCCGCGTGTAATTTACTACTATTTCATGGATTTTAATTTTTTTGCTTGGTACCGTAATTGTTTTTCTAAAATAAAAGTATCCTAAGTTACTCCTTACATCATCAGCTATCTGCCAGTGTAAGTCCCGTCAAAATCTGTCCAGCCGTTTAGCGGGACAAACAGTCAGACAGACACAAAAATTTTAGAAATTGTTTTTTGTTATTAGTTGTTATGAAAGTATCATATGCATTTAGTAAAAAGCTGTTATTTTAACATTACAAACAGACACTTCAATTTCATTTATTTGTATACATTGGAATTATGAATTTAATTTCATTAAAATACAGTAAAAAATCATAAAGATAAATTCAAAATTCACAAGCTTTTATCTAAACTTTCGATTTGAACCTAAAATAAATTTTGTTAGTTCATGTGACATTAATGACAAAATTTACACACTTTGCTATACTTCCTTATAAATCTATTTTTCACATAAGATTCTTATCCTAATTGAAACCCTAATGGTTAGAAGATAACGTCACAATTCCTTTATTCAATTCGGTAGGTAACAGAGTAACGAAATCGTTTTGCAAACTAACAAAGTGCTACAACTACAATAAAGATGTTGACTCTGATGGGTAAACAAAAAACATCAAAATACTTTCACGTCAATCTAATATTGTAAAAATATTTTGCTTGTAAGATGAAGTATGTGTTTAAGCAATAATGTTCGCAGATATTAGAGTTAAGTAAATTCGATATTGGTTCGTATAACTTTTATATATTATACTTTTTATAAGATAAATATTATTATAATTTTGTTTTATTGATTCCATTGCAACATTTTTTTTTAATATGCCGTGTGAAATTCAGCAAAAATAAAGCTTATGAAATCACCTTGGTATGACAGACAGACTTTTCTCACAAAGTGTTTCATTTGGACGATTAAAAGTTTTTTTCTTTTTCTTTTTTCTTTTTTTTTTGGAGGATAAAAATAGGTTAATTCCTGGGGAGGGGGTGGGGGTTATATCAATTAAAAACGTTTATTAGCACAAACTTCTATAATATATTATACAAATTAATTGCTGTTCGTTAGTCTCGCTAAAACTCAAAAATGGCACGACCGATTTTGACGAAATTTTTGTGTATTTGATTGGGTCCCTAGATGGTTTAGATTCGCATTTGGACCCGGTAGGTGGCGCTGTTTTTGAGATCCAGAAATCACCTGTGCGAAGCCGGAGCTGGTCGCTAGCTTAAAATAAATATTATTTATTCCTTTGTGTTTAATATTAGATTCTGTCCTCTTAATAAATCAAAAATTACTGTCCTCTTTGCAGTGTTTTGAGGTGGCGGTATTGCCAACCGTATTTTTGTCTAGTTATCATCAGGAAGACGCTGTTATCCACCTCCTGGTTTATTTCCCTCTGCCGCTTCTTACGCCACCCACGAGAGAATATGGAAAAGTGGATATTCTTACTTCGCCACAGCATATACTTATCATCAGGTGGACCGTGTGCTCGTTTGTCACCCTTATTCTAAAAAAAACTTAAGACTTAGGGCTTTGTCATACTTACGTTTTTTTTTCATTACCAGCCTAATACGACTAGGTAGTCGTTAATTATCGCTTTCTAAAATCAAGTATTAATTATCCCTTTTCTGCTGTCTTTAGTGAAGAGAGAGAGAGAGGAACATTAAGCATTTCTTATACTGTTAATTGTACATTTCTTATATCTATGTTTATTTTTACTGTGTTATTGTTTGTACTTAATATATAATAACAGATTTCTTTTTAACGTATATTTCTCTTAATAGTTATTATTATAATAATTATTTCAATGATTGACTATCACGTTGGTCTAGTGGTTAAACACGCGACGGCTGATCATTAGGTTCCGGGTTCGAATCTCGATCAGGCCAAAAAAATCAGTTATTGAGTTTTTCCGTCAAGAAATTCTCAGTAGCTTTCCGGAGTCAGGAAGTAGGCGGTGTCTTACCCGCGTGACTCGGAAAACACGTAAAGCCGTTGGTTTTGCGCCTGATCTCTCTCCGGTCGTGTCAGTTTACCGTCTCATCGGACTATGAGAGTGAAGGAATAGCGAGTGTGCCTGTGCTTGCGCATACAATTGGGCACTATAATCCTGTCCTGCGCTGATGGCTAGTCTCCGTTGAGGCTGGCCGAAATGACCGAAGTTCGGTCTGGAGGACATTATTATTATATCAATAATTGCAAATCTATGTGACTGCTCATA